CGGAAACGCAATCTCTGGAAACCTCCAGAAACCTCACAAATGAGCACGAAGAACTTCAGCGACGCAGCGCCCAAGAACATCGGAACCCGTTGGTGTCAGGTGGATGGCATCATCCCAGAAGGCGGTGCTGGGGTCGCCAGGCTGGGGAAATGGCAGCGCGGGTCGCGGGTCGCAGCAGGCCAAGCCATCTGCCGCAGCAGCTGCCAGCAAGGCGTCCCCCAGCTGCTTCAAGCGGCTTCGACGCACGGGGCCCTCGCCAGGAGGGACGCACCCGTGATTCTCAGCGTCGCAATCGAGGTTTGCGACCACCACCACTGGCACAGAAACCTCCTTGCAGGCGGCGTGCAGCGCCTGCACGCGGTCGCGTGCTTGCTCCACGGAGGATCCTGCCATGATGATGTCATTGGAGCCTGCCAGGATCACGCAACATCTCCATGGCTTCTCCTTCAAATGGTTCTGCAGCTTCGGCAGCAGCTCATGGGCGCAAAACCCCGGATACCCATGGGCCTCCGGCGCATCCACTTGCTCACGTAGCAACTCCCCCAGCCGTGTCGCGTAGGGGTGATACTTTACGCTGTCGGGATCTGCCTCCTCGAGCGAGCGATGCGGGCTTGTGACAGGGTGTGGCCATACACCGTAGTACCCTGCAGTCAAGGAATCGCCGAAGCAAAGCACAGGGCCCGACATCTCCTATGTGGCTCTCTCTAGCCCTGAAGACACATAGCCATCCGCCTGTCAGTTGTCTGTATGGTCAGTTGTTGGCTGCTTTTGTCTGGCTTCTGCCAAGCGCTGTGCGTTCTTGACGTGCATGCATGCTGCAAGCATCCTGAGAAGCTTTCGGTGCAATGCTTCAAGCCAGCAAGCCTCCCGCAGCCAGGGCCCGGCGATACAAAACAGGCAAAGGCGTGCATCCTTTTTGCCATGCACGGCCGCGCGAAGGCGCGCACATGCGCGGAGAGCATCTACTGAAGCAGGCAATCGCGCCCGCCTTGTGGCCTCAGCTGGGATGCAAGCTCAGGCATCACGGTAGCCTCAATGGACCCTCAAGTCGTCCATGGCTGACAGCCCCTGAAGCAATATGATTGATAGCCGATAGCTTCAGCAAAAGCTGTTCAACCGAGTTGCCGAGACGAACAGGAAGCGGAGCATCTTGTGCAAGCACTCCTCATCCACTCCTCTCTCTAGACCTGCAAAAGCATGCACTCCGACGCGAGCGTCACAACTCGAAGCCATAGAAGCACCGGAAAGCAACCCAACCGACCCTGTCCTGCGGCTGTCCTGGGTCGTGCCCAACTGGGCGGCGCGACATCTGGCAGCTGCGCGTTGAAGACGGGGAACTCCGGCAGAGCCGCAGCCCAGCCCAAGACTGGCCAAGCGGACAGCCGCGCCTGCGGTCCCCATTTCAACCTTTGGCTGGTTTTGTCCTTTGTACTTTAGTATTCGGAGTGCTTGTTCTCAACTTGAGTTTTTGGAGAGTCCTTTCAAAAAGGACTTTTACATCGGTGTGTGCCCGTGCGTGATGCATTTGTGAGTTGGGCTCACCTTTGAATGAAACCATCATTTCAGCTGGGCTCGGAGTTGAGTGCAACATCAAATGCCCGGTGCAGCAATTTCGCATGGCATGTTTCACGTGTACGTATTCACAAAATGCAGATGGATGCACCTGTGGATATGGACTGCTCCGAGGATACCTTGGAACATGCAAAGATTTGTATGCCTTTTTATGCATGGCTCATGCAGCGCCCTTGGGCTGGCCGGACCGGACTCACTCACGCCTCAGCCTTGGCCTTGGCCATCCAGCGGGGGAAGGGCAGCAGCGGCAGCTCTTGGAAGGGACCCCCGAAGCGCAGCAGCTGCTGCCGCAGCTCCGCCATCGCCACCCGCCGCCCGGCCCTCACTCGGTTGGGTGGGTGGCGGGGCTCCCGCGGGGGGCTCACGGAACCGGAGACTCGTTGAAAAGCACAGGTCACGTCACTCCGAACTCCAAGCAACTGGCTGCTTGCAACTATGTCTCCGGGGAAAGGGTTTGAAATCGCCAGCTCCCTCTCCGCTTTTTTTTCTCTCCCAATCTCGCCAAGGCGCACAATGTTCACAGCTCCGACCTCCGAAGCGTCAAGAAGGTCAACCAGCGCCGCAGCTGCAACGTTCACAGGCAAGGACTGCACCATCGCGTGCTGCTCCTGAGGCTGGCAGAAAGGACAACAGTAGACCCAAGCAGCAGAGCTGAGCGGCGCCCGTCTCGGGGAAGGACTGTGTGTGAGCAAAGCCTTGGTCCAAAAGGACTTGCAAAGAACGAGCCTCATGACATGCAACATTTCCTTCGCAACATTCATAGCTTCCAAAGAAGTTGCTGCACATCAAGGAGCTGATCAGGAGACGCATCCCAAAGTCAGTTGGGTTGCAGAAGCCTGTTCTGCTGTCCCCGGCAACCATGCCCAAGCGAGCTGTGCAGGAAGAGAGGCCTGTGACAGGTCTGCAACTTGGGTGCCATGTGAAGCGTCGTTGCCAGTCCCGAGCCTCCCTGGATTGCCCGTGCCACCAGGGCTTCCCCGACGGCTTTGGACACGGCATACCCGTGCTGGGCGTCTGCCAGCACCTCAAGCTTCGACCCAAAAAGAAGCTTCAAGCCAGTCATTCCCGGCCTCCTGAGGTGGCTCCGCCTTGCATGCCGTGGCCTCACAAGGGCATATGGCTTCTGGGCTCCGTTCATCGGCTCTCCCTGCCTGGGTCTTGTCCTTGTACGTGTCCGTCGTGGACACGAATACTAGGCGCGCGCCCGCCTGCGCTGCAAGTTGCAGCACATTCAGCGTGCCCAGCACCTGGGCACAGGGGGCGCGAAGCGGCCCGTGCGCCCAGTGCGCCACAAGGCTCCGGCATTGGCGCTCCTATGAGCGCCGTAGGTGCCTGAAAGGTCCACCATGGCCGCCACGTGCAGAATGTCCGAAACATTCGAGATCTCCAACGGCTTGGCCAGCGATCCCAGGACCACATGCAAATCATCCCACCTGAGACCCACAGAACTCCTGGGCAGCCCTGGGCCCTGGGCCCTGGGGGCTCGGCCACTCATTGTGCCAGCGCCCGATTTCCATGAGACCTTTGCTCAATCGCTGCTTCGCCGCCAGCTCCTCGGAGCAAGCATCCCAAGGCGATACTCGTATCAATAAGTCAAAAAGGCACTATTAACACGTTGCTGGCACTGGCAACGGTGTTAGTGGCGCGTACCGGCTTACGTAGCTTCCTGGTCCATGCACAAAGGCACCGGATGAAAACTCCAAGGGAGAAGCCCCTGCCATGTGGTCCATCATTCCGTCAGGGCACCGTCTCAGCTCGCACCAGGCATATCACCTCCCGCCTGCGCAATTTGGCAAATCAGAATGCCAAGTGGGACAGTGAAACCGTGCTGTCTTGCACCTCTGCTCCAGCATCTCCGCAAGGATGAAGCGACCCAGAAAGCCAGTGGCGCCTCGCCAGTCGATCGCCGGCCAAGTCCAGCCCAATTGACCCAGCCTGTAAGAAGTGTCCGGCCCTTGGCATTTGTAGAAGTCACAGCCGGCAAGTCCAGCTGCGCATCTGCAAGAGGATCCGCCTGACCAAGCCGGGCCAGTCAAGCAAAACATCGAGCCGAGCGACGCCTTGCTCAGCTCAGTCACCACTCTCCTGGGTTGAGAATGGCACCCTTAAGCAGCCCTCCCTGGGTGACCAGAAGCCGTGAGTCCAAGGACTAACTCTGGCGATGAGTTCTTGCTGATCCTTTCCAATTCCATGGGCGTTCTACATATTTGTTTCAGAGATACATATCTACATGCCTGCAGATTTGCACCGCTATGCGAAAAAGCCGTGTGGAACGTCTCAGGTTGGAAGTCGTGATGTCCTCACGGGCTCATCGGACAGCAGCAGCTGCACGGCCCTGGAGAGGGGCACGCCCAAATCCACATAGAGCTGGGCCTCAAGCTGCCGCACCGCCGATCTCAGCCAATGCTTCCAAGAAATTGCTGGCGCGGTAGGCCCAAATACACATACGGTGGATGGACGAAATCCTGCAGCACCCAAGAAAGCCTGGAATGATGACTCCCCCGCAAATATCAAATGAAATGCCAAGAAACAATGGTTTCAACAACCATGGTTTCAAGGCGGCACAGGATTTTGTCCATCTCGGTTTGGGCCGCCCCGCAATGTGGGCAGCCTTCAATGAGGTGCCACCCTGCGCGCGAAAGCTTTGGTCACCATCCAGCTGCTCCAAGGAGGTGTTGGCAGCCTCACTGGCGAGCCTGGCCACCCAAATTGAGCAAACTTTGTCTACACAAGGCCCCTGGCTGCAAAAGGGAAACCACAAGGGGGGGTTCAACAATGACTGGCTGCTTTTCTTCCGGGCTTGGCCAATTGTGAACAAACTCGCGCCTTTGAAACTCCCGGGCCAGGTCTGCGCCGTAGATCTTCAGGAGCTTCCCTCTGTCCAGCTTCCCTGCGCCAAGTGGCTAAGTGCTAAATGCAAGCAACACACGTCGAACCAGGGCCTGTGCCATTCAAGGTCCCTGCTTCTTGAGAAAAGGGCCCAGTGGCGAGCAGCACCTAAGGCACCAGCCAATGGAAAGCTAGGCAATGTGAAAACACGGGCCAATGGGCCAAGCTACAGAAGCTATGCGCTCATAGGCTTGGAGGCCATTCGCAGATGCGGCATCATTGAGCTTCTGCAGCAATGGAGCCGGCTCCTTCCCATCTGCATCCAGGACCTCAACCAGAGGTCAAAACATGCCAAATCGTGTGTCTCAACTGGTGTCCTGGTGTTGGACATCATTTCAATCGATTTTGCATTTATACCCGCCAACCATTATTAATAGGGTGTTGCAATTGAAATTCATAGCCAAATGGACGCATTTTGAAGCGCCTCAATTTTTGGCCAGGCAGCCGCGATGAGAGAGTCGTGCTGCGAGTCGCCGTGAACCCACACGTGGCGCACGCCATCTTTGCTCACAGCCGCTCTGAACAAGGTTTCCAGCGATTCGGGGAACACCCATTTGCCCATGGAGAGCTTGATAGAAGTCTTGGCACGGCCAATGACCTCAATCCTTAGACAACAGCAACCCACCCTGCATCCGTTGATGTCTTCAATTGCAAAGCTCTGGGACAATTTGACATTCCCATGCAACTTGGCACCTTTCATATTTGCGCGAGACGCTGATCCTCCTCAATTCGAACGATGTCTCCAATTTTGTAGAACCCGTCCTCGGTGAACGATGCCGCTGTTCTGGCGGTGTCCTGGTAGCTGAGCTGGCAAATTCGACAAACACCCCCCGGCTGGCAGGCCTTGTAGTAGCAGGAGAACATGGCGGCACCAGTCTTCACCACTAGCTCCCCGCAATTTGATGGCATATCTCCGTATGGCAGCAACTTGTACTCCACGGTCGGGTTCAGCTTCCGATTCACCGCGAGATTCCCGCACTCGGTGCCTCGCGCTGAAAGGCTTGCGAGGCTTGTTGGGAATGTATGCGAGACCTACGACCTCCTCGCGCCTGAAATTTGTCTGCATCTGCCGCATGGGATCAAAGAAAAGAAAACAAAGGGAAAGGGACAGCTTCCCACTGGTCCGGCAAAAGCTGCCCTGATTCGGACGGGAGGACACCTGCCTCCATACATCTCGAGAAAGGCCACCTGCTTGCCATCCTGCGTTGTGCAGGACCGAAACCACTCGCCGACGGTCTTGTCCAGCGCGCCGGCTCCGCAAATCCTAAGCCGATCTGAAACATCAACGGTCGGGAGATGTCACCTTTCAGGACATGCCTGCTATTCTGATTGTCATGTCTTCATGGCTGCCTCTTGCCCGCGCAAAGGTGAAGCATCATGTTCGGAGCTTTCGATGCTCAGCGCTGCGCAAGAGCTGACAGCGGCCGCCCAGCAAGTTCAGCGTCTTGTCCTCGCAGCGAGGCTGACAGGACTCCATGGTCCGGTCGGTCCAGTCCTGCACCAGCTGCGCGGCACTGTGCACGCGCTCGAAGAAGGCAGGCACACCCTTCAGCACCTTGGCTTTGCCAAGCCTCACACATTTCTCTCGACCGCGTGCTTTGACTGCAACCAGGGGCCAAGTCACAGTGGGCCGCACAGCGACCAGATCTCTGAAGATCTCATCCGTTGAACCGGGGCTCCGGATGCCAACGCGACCACCGTTCCAGAAGCTGGTGCAAACCTGCCAGATCGCGGGGAAACTCGGCCTACCCGGGGGAGTTCAAATATAGTGCGTGTGCATGCAAATGCACTCATATTCGCGCGCAAATGGCACGTCATGAAACAACATTCTCTCCAGTCAAGTATCCGTGTGACGATCTGTGATGTATGCCAGCGGCATGTACGAGTAGCCTCAGTAAGGCTAGAGTGCGAGAGCAGAAAAGTCTTGCGACTGTGCTAGCGCTTCTGAGAAACCAATATTCATTCCGGCGTACCTCTGAGGACTCTGCAAGTCAAGGCAGCCCCTCTGAGGACTCTGCAAGTCAAGGCAGCCCCAGCCACAAAACAAGACAGGATTCCAACACTCAAAGCTGACCCAACTCACCCTACAAGAGCATCCACGCAAGCTTGTCGCCTGACCATGTTCTTATGCCACAAGCCGTCGCTGTAGACCACTCCTCACGGAAATTGGAAGTGAATGCCTGCGGCCCTTCGGGGCTTCGGATAACCCCGCGCACTCCGCGCCTTTGGGGAGCCCCGTGGTGCCGCTGGTGTGGAGGATCGTGTGGATGGCCTCCCGGTCGCGGGCTTGGATGGGCAGCTCGGCAAAGTCCCCGAAGGAGTGGATCCTCGAAACGGAAGGCGCCAAACTCGAGGCTAAGCATCCGATGGAATGTCAACATCATATGTGTTTCAATCTAACTCATTCAGCGAAGAGCTCTGGTGGCTTGCGGCCTTCAAGTTTGTCGGGCCAAGCTTCTGGTCTACGAAATGCGCGACGACCCACTCTTCCAGCTGTTGCCTCGCAACGCTTCCCGAGCTCGGCCTCGGCTGGGCGAGAACTCGCCCTGCGCTGGCCGGGTGCATCTGACGGGCGCGTGGCAACCCCCCGAGGTCCACGTCGCCCAGCAAAGCCGGCAGCTGCCCAACGTCGACTTCCGAGCCTTCCATGCCACAACCAAAGAGAAGAAAGACCAAAACAACTTCTGAGCAAATCGCCTGTGACCTCCCGCAGCTTCAGGAGCATCTGCAGGGCACCCGATGGAAGATCCGCGGAGTCCAGAAGGATGAGCCACCTGCGCCGAAGAGGCGCCATCCATGGCCATCATGGCCCATCCGCCTGGGCCGGAGTTCCCGGAGCTTGGCGACATGCTCCGCGTCGCAGAACACGGCGCCCACTTCGCACCTCGAAAGCGCCACGCTTTGCTCCGGGGCAGCCCCTTGGCGGCGGCTTGATGCCTGCCATCCCAGCCTCTCCAGCGCCAGCTCCAGAGTGTTCACGTCCCAGGTGTCGCTCAAAGGCACAGTGCCGAAGCCGGCCCAGAGGCAGGCGAAGTCGGCTTGGAACCAGGCCTTAAGGCCCAAAGCCCCACTTGTACAGAGTCTGAGTCTGAACCAAGCAAAAGCACAAGGAACGACTTCCGTGCAAAGCCGGATTTCCACTTGCCGCCCAAAGTCCAAGCTGTTGGCCCCGCAAATGCCTTAGCCCAGCTCGGCACTTGCACGGCCGAGAAGAAGGAAGAGTATTTGTAGACTGGCCGCCGATTAGCGACCCAGGTGGCAGTGAGGCGGACAAAGCAGAGGCGATCTGGCCGGGCAAAAACTTGCGACACTCCCATCTGTGTCGCTGGCCTTTCGGGTCTCACTGAAGAACTGGCCATAGGACATCCATTTGTAGGACACTCCCGCACGTCCCCGCCAGCCCAGGCAAGGCCTGAGTCCCAACGGATTTCGCCTCGCACTCGCCTGAGCGCCCAACGGGGCCCTGTACCCCTGGGCATATCCTGCGGCATATCCTGCGGCCCGGGCCGCCTGGCGAACTTCTGAAACCTCTCCGCGAACGCCTCGGCCAAGGAGTCCTTCTCCTCCAGCTCCAGGCCTTCGGTTTGCTCCGCGTCCACCGCAGCCAAGGCCCGGGCCTCGCCGTCCACCAAGATCCGAGCCATGGCGGCCGGCGCCCTTGGGCCAGAAGGGGCAGGCAGAGGGGAGCGGCAGGCGCCAGCCATTCCAACCAGGCATCAGGTAGGCTCCGTTTCGGCCGCAGCCCCAAAATAGGGCCAGACTGGGAGCTGACTCTTTGGACCTACCACCTGTACAACTCTGTACACTGTACAATGGGGTTGGTCAAGTCTGGAAGCATAGGCATCAGCTTGTCACTTACCAACCTCGCTTTTTTGCATGAATTGGAAGAAGTCGTCCACAAACCTTGGACAGTCAAGCAAATGATTCACGTGGGCTTTGGCAACAACAAAGTGGTTGGGGAAACAAGCCAATCTAACCGCCAAGTCAACATGATCACCAATTCTCATGACAAAGTCGGAGTTCCTGTGCTTGCTGGGTGCCCGGGCTCGTCACAGCAGCCTTCCACCAGTAGCTGGTGCCATCGCGATCCACCTCTCCTGCCAGCGAAAACGGGTCTCGGATGGCCAGCCCTTCGAAAGAGAGCGGCGTGGCTGGCGGCTTGATTGGCATCGCCCCTCCTGTCCCACCAGAGCGGCTGCAGCTTCACCACGCGGCTGCCGATGCGCGTGGTACATATCCGTGCCATTCCTCCTGCGCGAGAGCGTCTTCTGCGGCAAGGGGCATTCAGCTTGGGCACCAACTTGCGTCTTGCGCATGCCAAATGAGGCATCAAAAAAGAGAGAGTGACAAGTGGCAACTTAACTGTAACTTGGCGCTCCATCCCACCCTGCCTCCTAAATCCAGGGCCATCGGCTCCCTCCGGTTGCTCCAGGCGTTGAATCGACAATCCTCCAAGTTCTGGTTCACCTTGCCAGGAAGCAAATCCATGCGCCAACCGAGGGCAAAACATGGCCGTTTGTCGATGTCCATCCACGGAAAGAAAGGTAACCAGGGCCATCTCAAACAAGGCACCAGCACTCGGGTGGCAGCCTTTTCGGCCAGGTTGGGCAGTGCACAGAAGGGGGCCACCTGCAGGCTGGTGCCCATGACCAGGACCAGATCCACGTCAGCAAAGTCTGTGGCAGCATCCTCAGCTCGGCCCTGGGGTCTCACAATGGCAAGCCCTGCTTAATTGAACTTGGTGCTTCAAGGGCATTGTCGGCGGTCCCCCATGTTGAAAAACACACATCTCATGAGACATCCACCCTATCCGTTTGCCTTTCGATTGGTTGCCGTTGGTCCAAGCCAAGATGCATAGAAGCGGTGGGGCATAGGATCGCCGTAAAGGACCACAGCGCCACGTATCGAGCCGTGGCATTCTACCACGAGCTCCCGCGGAAGCTCTAGCGAGGGATGCGTGTGGAGTCCATCCACGTTCTTCCAGGGATGGCAGGTTGGGCCAGCGAAAAAACGGGTGAACTCGTTCGAGAATCTCTCGCCCGGCGAACACAAACATACCAGAAGGGAACCACACGCGAAATCCGACCACGAAAAGCGGGCATGCTGAAAGGCCAGCGGAACTGTGTGTGTTTTGGCGCTTCTGGCGCACACCGTGCCTGCGTGTAGACCCTCCTGAGCCATCCCTGCCGATGCAGCCAGGCGCACAGCCTATGGGACTCGGTGGGCAAAGCATCCCGCTTCCAGCTTCGCAGCCAGGGACACACCTGGGCGTTTGGGGGTGGAGCTTCCAGCTTGCAACAAGCCGACCCGGCCGGCCTCAGACTCCCAAACCTCCGGATGCTTTTGCACAAACTCCCTGGAGAGCACGTACTCTGGGCTGTCCACTGCAGCCGGGAACCGGCCGCCGAACGTCTCACCTGAAGGGTGCACACCCAGACTGCACGGGGCCGGGCGCCTCGCCATAAGCCAAGCTGCGGATCTGCTCGAAGAGGCCTCCTGCGGATCGGAAGTCCGGAACGCCTGCTGCCGTGCTGACCCCTGCGCCGGTGCAAACGATCACGTTCTGGTAGCCGCCCTCTGCCTGAAGGTGCGTCTGAATACTGGACCCCTCATCATCCTCATGACATGCTCGAGCAGTATGCGCCCACTGGGTGCAGGGCCAAAGTCTGAAAGAAGTGCTCCTTGGAGATGGGCTCGTTCTGTCTTCGTGGGCTAGGGCCCTTGAGTCGACTCAAGTGCTTGCGGCCTGAAGCAAAAGGACACCTGGGCTGGCTGATGGCATGGGTGCGAGCCTTTCAGGTGCTCGTTGAGGCAGCCTTCGCTCTGCAAGTCCTCAGCTTCCCTCCCAGCTTCCCAGCTTCCAGCTTCCCTCCCAGATCCGTCTGAGCCCTGCCGTTCTCCAGTCCTTCTGGCAAAGCTCGCACCAGAACCGGCCTGCAGGTTCCGAGGCCAAGTCCGTCCTCATGCCAAGCGTCGACCCCGAAACGCCCAGGAAGCAACGTCTATGTCCAAGGAGCCCAGAGCCGTCGCACAGGGGGCAAATCTCACGCAGCAGGCTTCCTCATGAAATGACTCAAATCGGCTGGCCAAGCACATCCAGCAAAGCTGGGCAAGACACGCGAGGTCTGTGCATGCAATAGGCAATGGTTGGCTGATTTTGGCTCAATGACTGCAAATTGCAAGGTCCTGTGCCATCGCACACGGCACATGTCATTGCATGACGTGTTGAAACCACCAGCACTAAACATGCATCACATGGCAGTGGCTCAAACTATGTTGCCTTCAAACATCAGGCTGACTTGATGAAAGTACAGTCGCCCACACTAATTGGTGCTTGCAAGCCTTTCCTGTTGTCCTCTGCCACATGATTTGCACAAGATCCGAACATGCTGCTGAACGAACGGTTTGTTGGCGTTGACTCTGCTGAACTCTTGGCACTCAGTTTGCGCTCGTGACGCAGGCATGGAGATCTTTTCAATCCTTCTGCAAAGGATCTCACTGAGCAAGTTTTGAATTCATCAGATGGTGATGGGCAGAGCAAGGCATGGCTCTTCACAAACCACAGCTTCCCGTGAAAGGTGCAATGACATTGGCCAGCCCGCCCAACAGGGTGAGACGCTAGACGGTTCGTCCGCCTCTGTGAGCCAACTACTCGTAGTAGCAGCCGAAGACCATGCCTCAGGCGACTCTGGTCCACTCAGCCGGAGGCAACAGGGCAAGGGCCTACGGCAAAGAGGGATTGGTTCTCGTAGGTGTAGGAGGCCCAGTTGTCCGAGTTCACCTGGCATCCAAGACTCGGCCTTCCGCGGCTCAGACCAAGCCATGGCAGGTCCACGTCCCAGAGGCACTTGGAGGCAACCCGGATGCCCTGCCAGGTCGCCACGCCACGCCACGCTAAGTTGGAGCCGTGCCCGCCTGCGACGCTTGCTCGCCGATGACCACCTGGACGGTGGCCATTTCACCCCACAAAGCCTCAGAACGCCTCAGAAAGCCTCACCAAACAAAAAAAAACAACGAGAATCGATAAGACGATCGGAAAAACGGAGAGGTGCTTGCTTGCTCTCTCCTCCCCATTTGGGCCTGCACAATGATCTTATACCGCGGGATGTTCAGGTCCTGCTTCACGGAGGCCTGTACGAGAGCGCCGGCTCTGAAAGCGATTCGGGGCTTGACCGGGCCTTGATCTCGTTGCTCAGGTCCAGAGTCCAAGCCTTGGCGTCTTCAGCTGCGTATTCCTTGTCCTGGCAAGGACATGTCTTTACACTTTTGCAACCCGAAAAATGTCCGCCCTGATTTTTCCCCCTGGCCGAGTGTCTTGTTTTACCTTGTCCATGGGTTCGGGGCCTGAAGGTAGCCATCCATGACATTCTTGATCACTGCCGTCACCTTTGAGGGCAAGATCTTCTCATTGTCCTGGCATCGGCTTTGGGCATCGCCCTTGTTGCACCTTCAATCCTTCCAGCCATACTTATAAAGTGGGGGGCTTCTTGCTAGAAAAGGGAATCCAAGGGTTCCTGATGTTTTTCTGGGGTCTCTTTGCCTTCCCTTAAATCCCGCCTTGGGCTGCATGATGTAGGTGTTCTCCCACACATGGACTTGGTGTTGGTCTCCCATGGTCCTGCCGAACGCACCGACCAGATGGGGCCGCTCTCCTTCTCGGTCCATGCTTAGTGCTGCAAAGAGGCGCTGCAGGACTCTCTGACCAAAAGGCGTCACAAGGTGGGCACGGCAGGACCCTTTTTGAGCAAACTGCTTGCAGGCATGTCCAACTTCAACGCAAAGAGGCATTCAATTTCACACCTCGAAACCAAACTTGCTCCAAGCGCAGTTGCACCAGCCAAGTGCAATCTTCTCTCTGGCCACGCGTTCCAGAAACGTTGGCACGCGCAAGGCGCGCGAGGGTGTGAAGCCTTCTACGACCGCGGGGACTCGGGAGTCACTTCCGCTTCTTCAGGGTGCTTGGGAGCAGCTGTGTTCGCAGCTCCTGCGTGGAAAGCCAGCCCTCACAATGACACTCACAGCAGAAACGGCAAGCTCTGCCACTCATTCCAGCCGAAAGCAAAGACGCAGCACCTTCTGCAACACAAACGCACGACTGGCGCCAAACCTTTGCGACTCTCCCCTTTCCTTGCCTCAAAGCTGATGACTTCAACTTTGCCAAACAGCTTGGTGATGGCATCACCCTCACTTCCCCCGCGCAAACAGCTCTGCGAGGATCGAGCGGCCCATCTCATGGCTCCAGCTTCTCATGTGGCAACTCAGCCTCTGGCCGGACTCTGCTGCACGGAGCGGCTGGTTAGCGGCAACACCTTCCCAGGCATGCCGGGGGCCAAGCGCATCAAGGCGCTGGAAGCTGCTGGCTACATGATGCCGGCGAGAGCCAGAAGTTAAGGATAGCGGGTTGAAACGGTCGCTCGTGGGTACTGGTCTTCCCCACTTGCCGGAACAGTTCTGTTGCCGACACATGGCCCCTGGTCCCAAAAAAGAGGAAGGGGTGGGCGAGGTTCAGCTCCATTCCCAACGGAAAGTGCAGGCTCCGGCTTGGGCCTCGCCTTCTGCAGGAAGCCCTCAAGCTCTGCACGGCTCAGCCTGGCGGAGCGGGGCGGCATTGAGGTGGTTCACCTGCAAACTCCTTCGGCATATAAGCCGGCCATAGCACAACCACTTGTAGAAACTTTGGAGCCCCCCTTCCATACATTTCTTGGCGGGTTGGCACCACATCTTGCAACACCTTGGCAATCAACCAAATCATATGGAAAGGAAGCAGGGGCGAAACATGGAAGAACTGCCTGGCATCCTGTACGACCCGTCGTTTTCGGAAGCATTTGCGCGTATGAGCGTTTTGTGTTTCCGTTCGTGTGCGAGCACGGCCCGAATGAAACCCGCATTTGCTCATAACGTTGTTAAAACATCCAGCCACAAACGCGTAAAACAAGCCGCATGACCCTGTGTGTCAGCCAAAGGAGTGTGACCTAGCGGTTGTATTATGGGGTCCCAGGTTGGCATGATTGTAGCTATCGGACGAAAAGAAACAACTTCTTAGCCAATAATTTGGGGCAATGCAAGTCCTTCGGCAGATCTGGGGCTAACCCATTCGCATCGTTCCCCCATGATGACATTTCCCCAATGGTCACACCGAAGTCACGCTCTTCTTGTGCTGGACCAAGGCTGCGGCATACCGTCGCAGTCCAGATCATACCGCCGGAAGAGCTCCAAAAATCGCTCCTGAACGAAGAAGTCGCGGTTCTGGTGTTCGCTGAATGAAGCAATTAGGCAGGCTTTGACTCTATCAAATTGTACCCCAGTGACCGCCGAGGAATTCCTACCTACGGTGATAGCTGGCCATTTGTAGGGAGTTTCCGCCCCGGTGTCCGATGCAAAATGTGTGTCCCCCCTCCCCCATTTTTCGGACAAACTTCGGACATCCCAAAAGGAGTCCTCCAGGAGGTCGTGGAATACGGTCCTGGACCGCACGGAAATTCCAAGAGACCAAAGCGCAACGAAGGCTAAGAGCCCAACAGAACGCCCGCAGCAAACTCGCTGAAGCTGAGCACCCCGTCGCCGTTGATGTCCAACCTAAGGCTCGGAGACCCCTTCTCGGCTCGGCTCTCGACCCTCGGCTTCCTGAGCTTCTCGGCTTCTCGAGGGCTGAGGCCAAGGCGCTTGGAAGGCCTTGGACTGCAAGGCTTTGTCCTTGAAATTTGGCACCATGTCTGAGACTAACTTCGGTTGCGCATGAGGCAAAGCCTCCCTATCCACCAAGATCGTGCTAGAAGGAACCAATATAGGTAAATTGAGACCACACGTGTGGCCTGCAAAACATCGGACAGCACAATCATATCTACACGCGTGCGTTGGCAAAGGAAAGAACACTTCCTCGCAGGAAAACCGTCGAACCGTGGCCCGCCGTGACGCGCTGGCAAACTCACACACATCCCTCCTTGAGGCCCATATTGTTGAACATGTGCTGCATCTCCTGAACGCAACTCCCAGGGCCCCCTGACAAGCCTCCGCAAGCATCCTCCGCACCAACCAACTTTGGTCAGAGTTTCTGAGTTGAAGAGCCCATGCTGACACTTCCAACGTCCCAGCCACCTGTGCGATACATGGCCAACCCCTCCTCCAGGGAGATTCCGCCGTCCTGGTTTTCATCCAGCTTCTCGAAGACCTGCAACAAGAAGCCGAGTGACATGTAGTGCAAAGCAAACTTCTTGGTTTCAAGTCTTGCTTTAGCTGCGATGAATTCCGCTACACCTGCAACATGCTGCCACACGCTGTGCTGGTGCTCCATGTTTGTGATCGTTTGCCTTTGTCTGACAAGCTGCCTCAAGATGACAAACGCAAGCCAGCTTTCTGACTTTCTAGCGACAATTTGCCGCCCTCCAAAACAAGGCCCAAATCATGTCCTCGCGCCGTGCCTTGGCAATGCGCTCAGCACGCTCGATGGGCAGCTTGGACGCAACCTCCATGATGACAGCCTGTAGCAACGAGCGATGCATATGGAGGGCATATGCAGAAACATCAAACATGAGGGATAACAACTTGCCCTTCTTGCTGGAAAACGACTCAGTTTGTCCACTATTCATCTGGCAGAACCTGCACACCAAGCCTCAGTCACGCGTTTCCCGCTGGCTGAAGCAAACCGGTGCCGAAAATTTGCATTTGTGGCCGCAAACAGGCCCGGGCTCAGCCCGTGGGCCAGAAAAGTCCGCGCCGCCCTTGACCCGTGCTCCAAGGCAGCTGCGCAGGAAAACACCGCCGATCCCTTTGGGCGGTGTCTATTCTGTCCAAATCCCGCTCTGCTTTTTTCTGCCCACGTTAGGGCTGACAAGCTGAAGGGCTGCTCTTTGTCGCTGTTCAAATCAGCGGGGAGCAACCAGCGCCATGGCCACGGCGCGCGCCCACTTAGTCCTCCACCTTGGTGACCTGGCAGCAATCGCGTGCAAAGGCGTGGCTCTGAGCCTGCCAATGCCTGCGGCTGGTTGGCCAGGGCGACGGCAGCAATGAGCAAGTGCAGAAAGCACAGCCTCAGGGAGAACTTGTGGCGTAAAACGAAGGGCTGCGAGGTGAGAATGCGCAAGCAAACCTATATTGGGGTGATCACTTTCTGACTCCTGGCCTGACCAGCCAATTGGCAGAGGTCTCGAAGCTGTTCTTGATTTCAAGGCGCCTGGCCCGCTGACCAACATACGGCTCCCAACGGCGCGCCCAACGCGAACCGCGCCCTGGCCTAAGCACCTCATTCCCCGACTTCACCAACGCCAGGCCCCCCATGCGCGGCGCGTCAGCGGCGCTGCGGGCCAGGTCCTGGGATGCATTGAGAAGGCGATGCGTCCCTCGCTTCGCCCGCCGGCCGTAAACCCGCCCTTCGCTGCGAGCCGCGAGGTCGCGGAGCTCGGCGACGCACAAGGCCTCTATGGCATAGCCTGAGAAGCTCCATCAAAGCACCGGCGTTGAAACCGAGGCGTAAGCACCAGGCGAATGGGCGACAAGCTATGCATCATCTGCATAAACTGCACAGGTCGCTGGGTCTTGCCAATGCATCTGTCACAGACTCTCAGACTGGCCTTCCCCTGGCTGTGGCCAACCTGACCAGCTGGATCGATGACACCTGGAAGCATGCAGAATTGAACAAAGGATCGGCAATCTGCGCATGCCGGTCAAGACTTGCACCGCCCTTTAAGAAGCACAATGCTTTGGGTGCACGTATTTGTCTTGTGAACACTGTTCCCATATTGGTGGCACATTGCATCGTGGCCTGCTTGAGACAGGGGTGCCACACCAAAACACTTGCCACCATGCCTTGCCTGTCAGCATGTGAACGATCATGACCTCGGCTTGCTGCAAAACCGCCAAACGCTGCAGGGAGAGTGTTGGGCACATGCACGAGGAAACCATAAGGCCATCCAAAAAGTAAAAAAACAACTGGAGAGTGGCCAAAGACACACAATCCAACAAAAAACAAAAACCATAAGGCCACCAAAGACCCGAATTCAGACGCAGGCTTTTTTACCTTCGCCGGGGCGCTGGGCCTCCGATCGCCATGGCCCTGTCAGCGCTGGGCGCCAACGAGCCCACCGCCAGGCCCAAGGTGGAACAGGCCACCTCGGCGAAAATCCACACATGCAGTTCACATGGGTCCTTTAACCATGGGTTCCTCAACCGTATGGGGAACCAGCCATGTGGCCAAATCATATGCCTTGTGGGGCACGGCACTCCCTTCAGTTTGGGTCTCCGTGGTTTGCAGTGGGGCAAAACGAAAGCGAGCGCAAGGTTCCTGTGGCGCCCGGCCGCCACCAGCGAGAATGCTAGCACCGCCTCATCGTGCCTACAGGAAAACAGCTTATTTGCGGTGTTCTGGGCCATTTCCTGTCGACTTTTTCCTGTAACCCAACCCCTTGAGATTCAATGTCCCACAAGCATGGCATGGGAAAACGACAAAACATGTTGAGAGCCACATGCCCGTGCCCCTCGGCCCTCCTGGCGTGCAGCCCGCAGCAGCGGTGGACCAGCGTGGCAAACAGGGCAGCGGCGGCGGCATCCAACGGCAGTTCAGTGATCGCCTGTCAAAATGATGGGACCCCCACCCCAAACAAAGAAAGAGCATGGTTGGTTTCCTTTTGGCTTCCTTTCGAGGCCGACCGAAACGGGGCTACAAAGCTACAAAAACATGGAGTTGGAATGGGCCCGAAAAGAGACACACCCACATGTGCCATGGGCAAGATTGATAGTTTGTGGGCCATGGTCATGTCTTAGGAATCCTGCAAATGTGTTAACACCATAGCGTGCATGACCATCCCTACTACACCAACCCCAAGTCGAGGGGTCAGTCTTTTGTCCCGCGGCACAAATCGACAGCAACTCAGTTCAAGCTGGGAGTCACCAACATATGCGAATCGGTCTAAGATGTGGGAATGCGGCGACCAAGGGCCATGACATGCTCGCAATGTGTCCGATACAGGGACACAGCTACTTCAACAAAAGGAGCAAGAGCACCAGACTGCGGGGTACTTCTGGACCGTTTAAAACGCTGGCGCCTTGGAGAGCAAGTACACAAAGCCGGAATAGCAGCGAGACAAGCGCTCCCTCTGGATGATGGCTCGCTCCTACATGGCACGGATTGCCTATAACTGCCTATAACTGCACAACTGCCTATAGCTATAGCCGTGGGTGCAAATATGATCTGAGAAACAAGATGTGTTTGTTGTTTGATATATATATATATATATATGCGTGGGTGCCTGGCAAATTTGATCCGAGCATATTTTCCTGTAGCTGCTAAGCTTGTCTTTTGGATATCACCCCGGCGCTAGGTGCTTGCAAGAGGGGTCCTTGGCAAAGCGATCCACGGACCGCGCCATGGCAAGCATCCCCATGGCAATGACGCCAAAGGACCTTGGATAGTGAGACGAATTCAGAGGTCAGTCGCCTTCAAATCAGTAATCCGCAACTACATGGCCCCAACTAAAAAGTTCGAATCAGTAATACGTGCACCATGACACCAACAAAAAAAGGGGTCTACAAGTCGTGGGTTCCAGCGGCAAGGACATTCAAGCCATTCTAGCCATTCTGGCCGGGGAACACCAAGCAAATCCGCGCCGCCACCGAACGTGCAGTTGGCAACCCCCCGCCATCCAGCCTCCAGTGAGAGAATGCAGTGGCATTCACCAAGTCTCTAGGGGTGGATTCCCCATTCTTTTCAACCATCGTTCTTAAAAAAAACGGCTGTTTTCCCTGGGATTTGGTTGGTTTTCTGGAAAGAAGGATCCTGGAAAGAATGGGGAAGTGTCCCCTAGAAAGTCAAAACCAAACGCGTTCTTGAAATCGGGGCAAACCTTCGGAAGAATTCCTTGTCAGGGGCGTACATGCTTCCAAAGTTTCTCAACCATCCCCGAGACATCCCGGGCAAACAGTCACCAAGGCAGTGACTCTGGCGGTACCCTTTGCCCTGCCTGCCGAAGTGCAAGCTGAAGACCAATGCAACGCCGGCCGTTGCCACCAGTCGCAACACCTCCGCCCGCTTCGCCGCTTAGCTTTGCACTGGTCAAACCTCCCGGCCACAGGCCCCAACCCATGCCCCAGTGACAAATCCTGTCAGCGACTTCTCCTTTTGAGATGGGGAAATGCCCTTCCTCTGAAGGCGCCGCAACACACATCTGTTGGTACCGACGTTGTCCAAGCATCAACCAACAAATTCGAATCTGTTTGAGTGGGCGCTTTCGACGACAATTCTCTCTGGTCTGCACCGGCAAGCTGATGTTTTTATTCAAAGGGTCCCAAGAAGTTGGCCGAAGTAAGGTTGGGGCAAGCAGGCCGACGTGCTGTCTCTCTCACCCTTTTCAAAAGCGGCAGAAACTGAACCAAGTGAACGGAAAAAGAACACTTGGTGCAGCTACCTCTGAAGGGCGGGGCAAGCATTGCCCATGAAGGCACGGAGTCAGTCTGCAAAGTTGGGCCGCGCGCGTTGGTCACATGGTCGCGCATGATCTGGACCAGCGCCCTCTTCACCAACAGCAGAAGCGCTCCTTGGCCCGCCCGCCCTGGCCGGACCCGAGGGGCCGAGAACTCGGGCGCTGCAAACAAGGGGTGCCGATGCGGTGAGAACCCATGAGAACCTCACGACGTGTACCTCCGGAGGCCTTGGAACAGCAACTCTCCCGAGGCGCTGGTGCTGCTCCGGTCACGGGTGAAGCTCACCGTCCGCGGGAGGGACTTCCCTGTCCGCGCGACGTTCTCCCCAGCTTTGCCTTTCGCGCCGACCGCCGTCGGCCCTACCCATCTCAGCTGGACCAGGGTTTCCTTGAAGGATAGATCCAAAAACCGCCACAAAAGAAGTCCATTGAAGTCAGCTGGCATTTGGCGCATTTGGGTGGTTCTTTGACTGGCCCCAGCTGGCGAACCCCCGTAGGTGGGCGGTGTCTACATGGTGGTTTGACGGAACTACTTTGGGCTGAATGTGTCGCCCGGTTGCGCCAAGCAAAGTCCAGCTTTTCGATGCGCAGCCGGTCCTGGCTTGCCCCGAAACACCAAGGCCAGCACAAGCGGCCAGCCTTTCAAGCAACGTATGGGCATGGCTCGTGCAGGTAGGGGGGGGGGGGGGGAGTGAAAAATTGCAGTTTCCTTCTCAAAAGGCCCAGAAAGAGGTGCCCTAAAAAGAACACAAACCCAAACGGAACGCACGTCCGTGTCTTAGACATGCTGCAGTGAGCCACGCCTTCATGGACTGGCTTGAGCTCTCATGGTCAATGGACACCAGGTCTATGACAAACTCCGCAGGGTTTACACCTGGCAAGCGCAAGCTGCACGGCAAAACAAGCGCCACGGAAGCTTCACACGCTGAATGCAAGCCAAAGACTCCCCCACCTCCCCTTGCAAATTCAAGTTGAGCAACATGTTCCAGGCCCTGCCTGCTTCAAGGCAGCTATGGCCCAAGTTGCCTCATGCTGCACGGAACTGAGCAAACATCTACTACCTGGCAAAGCCATGTACTTCTGTTTGCAGGAAGGCATGGGCGCTTGATTGTTGCAACTTCCAATTCAGCAAAGCAGCTGAAGTAAGTTGGCAGCTCGGCCGCGGAGCCCTGGTACACCACACAGCCACCTTGCCCGTTTCGGTCTCTCAGCCAAGCTTGCAACATGCACAGCAAGAATCCGTCCAGCATGGGACCTATGATTCAACCTGCCTTCGTGCGTTTCTTTGACTTGCTGCTACTTGATACTTGGGTGTTCGGGCAAGTTGGTAAGTCGTTGGAAACTATAAGCCATAAGCCCCCTCTAAGTGGGATTAACCTGGATATGAGGAGGTTGTACACCCAGGGTTCCACTTGCTGACTACCCCAAGATGGACTTAAACCCAGGGGTTCTCCTTCCCCTAGGTCCAAAAGTGGAACCCTGTCTACACCCAGTGGCTAACACCTGCACAGGTTTCCACCCCTGAGACCCGGGTCGTGTTGCGACGGCCTGGAGCCATGACCAACACATCCTCCAGGCAGCGCCAAATAGAGGTTCGTGGCTGGTGCAGGGAGGCCACGGCCACAGAACTCCTACACTTGTCATAGAGAAAAAAGGAAGCACCACCTGACTGGAAAACAAACAGAAAAGGGCAAGCAAATGATCAGAAAACACAGAACAAGGCGCGAAAAGAGAAGAGCAAAAAGCACGAACATGCAAAGAACGGAGCTCCTGCTGGACGCGAGCTCCTTCAGAAGCTCCACAACTCGCAGCGCCTGAAACGCGTCGAGCCCTGTGGTCGGCTCATCCGCCAGGATCGCCCGCGGAAAGCGCAGCACGCTCTTCCGCTCATCTCCTGCCATCCGCCGCGAAGTCTTCATGGGCGAGAAACTTTTGCTTCAGTCGAACCGGAAAAAAAGGCAAGAAACAAAAAGCAAAGGAAGACAAGTGGCCCTCGCGGCCTGCGATGGCACAGGCAACTGCCAGTCGCCGCTGCTCGCCCTTGGTGGTGTGGTCGACACGCCTAGCGCATGGCGCATGGGCCGGCCTTTCACCATAGGCATGAACTCTATCCGGAGTAAACAAACGCATTCCGAGGCCACCCTTTCAGGCCTAACCCGGGAAACCACAACCGAAGATGTTTCCAGGGCCTCCGGTTTCGCGGCCCGCACCCCGCCTGGCCGCGGCGGCAGTCAGCCCCACCCGCTGCATCAGGCTGGCGGCCTCCCCGGTGGCCGCGGCCAAACTTTGCCCCGCCAGCTGCGAGGCGAAGCACAGCGTCTCCCGCACCGTGAGCTCCCCGAAGAAGGGGTCGTCCTCCAAAAGAAAAAAACCAGAGATAAGTTACATAAGTTACATACAGGTGCCCTGGGCCAGTGGGGGGATGAATCCTGCCGGCCCCTGGAGTGAACTTGAAGATTCGAGGGGCATGCGGCTTGCCGCACATCTGTCACGTTGAGGACCTACGCGGACCTGATTTGCCCGTCGTCTCTTGCCAGGGTCCTGCCCGACCACGGCCACTGTGCCTGCGCGACATTCCAGTAGCTCAGAATGCCCGCTTGGTGTCACAAACGCAGAGCTTCTCGCGCGAAGCTAACCAGCTCATATGAACTCAAATGCTGTCATGCTGTTCAGCCTTCAGCCGTCTAAACTTGGCAGATTCTTCTCCGGCTCAGCCCGCCTTCAGTGACGCCTACACGACCGCTGTCGCTCCAAACGCGGCCGGCCAGCCCGTAGCTCGGCGACAGCGTCCCGGCCAGCGCCGACAGCAGCGTGGATTTGCCTCGAGCCAACTGACGTGAGAAGCCAATGGCACCCTACCAGACAGCAAGGCGATTCCACTGTCACACCAAGCAGAACGAAGCGTATGAGTCATGCGCCTGGCCTGCGCCTGACGGCCCCAAGATGCCCAGCAGCCGCCCAGCACGGGCAATCCTCGCGCTTGGTCTTGCCTTCCTTGAGGCGTCTCTTTTCTGGGGTCCTAGGAACAAACTTGAAGGGAGACCAACCAGTTGAGGCGCTGCCCCAAAGACGCACCCAGTTGATCCCCTTTTCCCTCCGACTCAAAACCCAGGTGTCCCGTTGCAATCGTTCAGCAGGGTGCGGCCCGAGGCCGTCACAGCCAACTCTCCTCGGCAGGCAGCCAAGAAAAGGTATGTGTCTCAAAATTGGGGGGGGGAACGCCAACATGGTGGCCGTCCGAAGTTCCCTTTAACCAACCTGAACAAAGGGGTTGTCTGCACAAAAACACCCAATATTGGACACACCTCCATGGGCTTCGCACAACGGCCTGTTCACTCTCTCAACTTCTGCCACTGGCTCAAGCTAAGGTTCGCCAGCAAATATCGTTGTCTGACCATGGGATATTTGAATCCATTCTGGGCAGAGCGTTCGGGTGCTGGGGTTGTCGCTCGAAGCCTTCAGGCCGAATTTAGTCTGGCTGCTCGTTCTTTGCCTTGTGGCGTTCTCTGACTTGAGCCGCTGAGCCAAGCTGAAAGGGATGCCAGGCGGCTCGGGCTGAGGCAGAGTGAAGCAAGAACCAAGAACCAACCACTTCGCAAGTTGCGAGTTGACACCTGCACGAAGGGGC